CACGTGGTTCAGGTGTCCCGACGCCGTGCCAGCCTGGTCCTTGGAGGGGGCGCCTGGGAGCGCAGCAAAATGGGAGGGCTGGAAGGGCTGCAAGGAGCCTCCGCGATCTTTGCTTCAAGTGTCTCGTTTTGCACAGGAGGCAACTAAGGCCGGGAGAGAGATGGAGATCTGCCCCCGTTGGCATCTGTGTGTGTGACATGAAAGTTCCTACTAGAAAGGCACTTGTGAATGTGAGACAGCATATGTGTGTGTGTGTGTGTGTGTGTGTGTGTGTGTAAGGGAGAGAGCTATGTGTACATAAGGAGTCTCGTTTTAGACTCAGTATGAGCAAAGGTTTTGTGCGCTCCATGCAAAGTTTGAAATTTGAATGACCTTTATGTTAGTTTCCCTCCCCCATCCTCTTCACTGTAACAGATGTAACTTGACAAGTTACTTTCCACAGATAGTTATTTTATAGCATTAAAATGTGTTTTTATTAAAAAATAACATTAAAATGACCCCCTTTTCCATCTTTTGCGTGTTGTGTCCTAGGTGTCTGCCTATGTTGCCTGGTCCTTCTCTTCTGAGTGTATGTCAGTGTGAGAGACTCTTGATTGAGGATGCTTGTAAGAGAGAAGGCAGGAGAGAGACAAGTGTGTATGAGACAGTGAGGGATAGCTAAGGAGGGTGAGGAAAAGAGAGAATGTGTGTGAGAGCAAGCCAGGAAGTCGGTGCTTTGCACATAGTGGGTGCTTAATACATGTATTGAGTGTGTGCTAGAGACAGGGAGCATGAGTGCTGACAGTGAGAGAAAACAGGAGAGAAGAGCCAGAGAGAGTGTGTGAGTGTGTGCGAGAGCCAGGGAGCCTGTGTGAGTGTATGAGAGAGCGCGCCAGGGAGAGCATGTGTGAATGTGTGTCGGAGAGAGCCAGGGAGCGTGTGTGAGTGTGTGTGTATGTGTGTGTATGAGAGACAGCGCGAGAGCACTAGAAGGGGCCAGGGAGTGTATGTGTGCGTGTGTGTGTGTGTGTGTGTGTGTGTTAGAGAGAGCAAGCAAACGGGACGGAGAAATCACGAGCCAGTCTGGGAGTGCGCGAGTGTGCGTGACCGTGTGTGCCCGCGCGTGGGTGCGCGGGTGCTCGGGGCCTGAGCCCCAGCAGCTCCGGCTGCAGCAGCGGCGGCGACGGCGGTCCCGGAGCCGCATTTCTGGAAACACTTGCAGGGGGGGCCCGGCGCGCGGCCGGCTGAGCTAATAGCTGGCGCGCGGGCCCTGGCGGAGCGGGCGGGCGGCGAGCGCTCCCTGGTCACATGGGCGAGGGGAGGGAGGGGGGCCGGGCGGGGGGAGTTTAAAGAAGCTTAAAACCCGAGGAGCCGGTGCAGAGCGGGCGGGAGGGCGGCGGCAGTGCTGGCAGCAGCGGCAGCAGCCCCAGTGGCGGCGCGCGAGGAGCCGGGCTCCGGGGAACGGGATCCAGGGAGGAGCGCGCTCGGGAGCGGGCGGCGAGGGCAGCCCCAGTGCCCGGCGCTGGGGCGGAGAGCAGCCAAGGGAGGCGGCGGCTGCAGCGGCGGCGGCGGCGCAGAGCTCGGAGAGCGGTGAGTGTCGGACAGTGTGGCCCCCGCCCGGCCCGGGCCCCTGGCTCGGGGGTGGGTGGGATTCGCAGGCGGCCGGGCGGCTGGCGGCCAGACTGGCTGACGACTGGCAGCCCTTTTTCGTAGAGCTGGTTGGGTGCGGCCCGGGGCGCTGGGGGCCGTCGGGCACGCGTGGGGTTCCGGGCCCCCCGAGGGGGGCTCTGAGCCCCTCAGCCTGGCGAGGGCGGGAGGGGCGAAGAAAGTTCAAGGGAAACTTTGCCCGAAAACTCCGACGGGGGCCGAGTCGACGGGGTGGGGGGGCTCAAGTGGAGAAACCCCTCCTGTGCCCCCCAAATCATGGCCCCTGGAGCTGGAGCGGGAGGGAAAGGGAGGGGGAAAGAGAGCGAGCTAGCGAGCTAGCCAGGGTGTGGTGGCCGGGCCGAGCAGCGCCGGACAATTGGCCTGGGGGTTTGGGATGGGGGGGACGGGGATGGGACGGGACCAGCGATCAGAGCTGTTCTCCCATCCTCCCTTCCCCCCTTCACTCCCTCCCGAGGCCCCCCCCCCCGGATTCAGGCGCTAGACTTGTAGGATACCCACGGGTACCTACCCTCCCTTCTGCTTTCCCTCTCTCCCAACCCCGCGCCTTCTCTTCTTCCTCCGTTGCTCCCCACCCCTACTCCCCCTCCAGTTAGCTGAGCCCTAGGATTTGGGGAAATCTCTGAGGATGGGGAGGAAATGTGTGCTTGGGGGGCCAAGAAGTGAAACGGGCAGAGGGTCGCGGGGACCCCGGCCCTGGGCGGGGGGAGGGGCAGGAGGTGGGTTAGTGGGCATGGGGAGGGTTTCCTCCCCCTCGGGAAGATTTAAATCTGGACATCAAAGTCCCTGGGGGGTGAGAGGGGTCTCAGTATGTTTTTGTGCTTGCCTATGTCTATATCGCCTAGTGTGTATTTGTGTGTGTGTGTGTGTGTGTGTGTGTGTGTGTGTGTGTGTGTGTGNTTCAGTATGTTTTTGTGCTTGCCTATGTCTATATCGCCTAGTGTGCATTTGTGTGTGTGTGTGTGTGTGTGTGTGTGTGTGGCAGAGGGGAGGTCAGAGGACGGACAGCT